TATTATGCTATTATATAATTAGCTCTTTTTATTCTGAGTACATTTGTGATATTAGTTATATATATCAATTCATTTAATAATATATTAAAATTATAAACTTAAAATTGAACATGGTATTGTAATTATAGCATTGTTATTAAAATAAATAGCAAAGAATAAACCTTTAAGACAGATGGAGCTGGAACTTGAACCTACATCAGTTTCACTTCCTCCGTGCTTGTCTGCATTTGGTGGTTTATGCAAACTGGCCAATGCATCCCAGGCATCTTTGGCTGAATTCATCATCTTAATCTGTTCAAACTTTTCTGCTCCACATGAAATCTTAATTGCAAACAGAGCTGAAGCATTCTTTTTAATCCAGTCCTCTGGACTTTTGGCAAGAGGAATCTGGCTTGATAGAATAACATCATCCCAAAGGCCTTGAGCCATTAAATAGTGTCGCATTAAAATGCTCCACCTTTCATAATTATTTTCTTTAAGAACCTCAGGTATAATAGCAATTGGAGATGCTGCTGCATTAGTCTGTACAAAATACATAATCATATATAAAACTATATTTTTTCCACAAAAAGAAAATTAAGCAACATAGAAGTCTTGTTAAATGAGGTTCGCCGCAGTTAAAATATTAACAAAGAACCATGGCTATTCTATGCGATTAGATGATTAATTAGCGGATACTGTGCCATACTTACATATGGAACGGGCTGCACCAAATTAGGAATCATGCTTCCTAAAAGCTGCAGCAGACAGACAAACCACTCCAACAAGGAATGAATTGTAGTTTTTGAGGGCAAGAGCTCTGTTTGATTTAAGCTATATTTATAGAATGGATCTGCCTACTCCAAGTAAGATTGTAAATGAGTTGAATCGAGTTGAGTTGGAGTTTTTTTTTTTTTTTTGAGTTTAAATATATTAAATGAAAGATAATTGGTACACCCTCTGGATTGATACATTTTTTACATCTATTCAATTCAATTATTAAAATATAATATAATTATAGTCAATTCAATCAATTTTTACATTTTATATGTATGATTATATCTTTAAATTTGTTTATTTTTAGTTTTATACAAATAATAATAATTTTTTAATAAATATGTTATATAATATGTTAAATTAGATGGTATACCAATCAGTGTCCTACATTAAAATCAAACTTAACTCACAAATTAGCTTGAACTTGATTCCTGAGTTTGACTTGTGAACTCGAACTCCACTAATAGATTTGATTAATTACTCAAATTTAATTTAAAATTTAAATAAAAATAAAAGTTTAGTATAT